TTCAGGGCAGGTGCCAGGCACTTTGCACAAATCCTCCGGGTGCACAGTTGCTCCTTGCTCAGTCGGACGCTGCCTCTGGGAAGCCTTCCAGGCACCTTCCCCTGCATACCTGCGACGCCCACAGCCCTTTCTTCCCCGTCCGTCACTGCATGGCTCTGTCCCCTTTTCCTGGTGCAGAGGAGGGGTCCCTGAGCATTTGTTGAACAACTTAATCCAGCTGGTCCTCAGTGGAGGAGGAGGAACAAGCCCTTCTCTCTGTGACACAAGTCTCAGCATTACTCTCTTCCTCTGGACCTGTGTGGGTCTCTGAGTGCAGACTTGCCCTTCCTGCCAGTAGGGGTGTGTGTTCATGTCCCAATTTCTCCCCTAACTCACAGGTGGCCTTGGGAGGTGACTTGAGTCAGCTTCTCTTAACCGCATCGTGAGCACCGTGTGGCATGTGGCAAGTCATTTGTACTGATGTGATGAGAGAGGAGAAACTGCTTTCATGACAGGTAGCAGTAGCTGGGAGTTGGCTGGCCCAGGAGGGTGCAGAGCCCGCCCTGGGGGACACACCCTCGCGGGCCCGCTGGGTCAGGCCAGGCCGCTGGCCAGGCCCGGGGGAGGAATTCAGAGAGCGAAGAGTCAATGGCTCTGACCATAAGGAGAGTCCAGAGTTGCGGGTGGGCACTGACGAGGAGGGCCCTGGGAGAGGAGGAAGGTCCGGAGGGGGACCCGCTGCAGCCCAGGAGGCCGCCTGGAGGCGCAGTGTGCGAGTCCTCCCCGGTGGGAGGCTCTGACGCCTGCTCAGGAGGACCGAGTCTGACTTCAGAGAAGTTGCTTCCTGCTTGGGTTGGAGGTTCCTTGCTGTTTCCTCAACCTCCAAAGCGTGTTACACTCAGCAGCCTTGTGTGAGTCATTCTTTGGGAATGAAGGACGAGGGGTGGCCATGCCAGGGTGCCATGCTGTGCCCAGCAGCCTGGGAGCGAGCTGGGCAGGAAGACTCGGGGCTGTCAGAAAAACAGGGTGCAACAGGGGCTTGAGGTGACCCCCTTCCCTGAATAGAGCCAAGGAAAGCAAGAAGGTGGCCCGGAGGGGCGGGGCTAACCCCGGGGGAGAGGCAGGAGGGAGGCCAGGTCCTGCTGTTCATGGGACAGGGTGGTCACTGTGTTTAGATATCGATAAGGGTGACCCCAGGATCATGAAGGCTGTGGAGACCCACAAGCAGCACTGACGACGTCTCGTGCCAGGTGGTTTAGGGTCATCTCTAGGATGGCATCACTCCCACTCGCTTGCTTTCTGCTGTGATTTCTTGAGTGGGAGCGAAATGGGGGGCATTTCAGCCCGTGCCTGCCTGTGCCAGGGTCACATCATGCCATGCATCACACATGTGACAGTGAGAAAAGGTCATGACTCCTGGGTGTGGACAGGGATGGCAGACTGGGTTGGTGTGGTCAGAGGACAGGGTTCAGCTTTCTCCAGGGGTCCTGAGTGGCACCTGCTCGTCCCTGCACAGACCAGTAGGCGTGGGAGGGGCAGCAGCTCGCTCGGCCCACGTCGGGCGTCTGTGCGCCGCACGCTGGCCCCGCAGCGGCCACTTCCTGCCCTCGGGGGGGTGGGCTGGGCGGCGCGCAGGTCTGCGGGGGGCTGCAGATCTGTGGGTGTGAAGATCCGTGGGTGGAGTGCAGATCTGTGCGCAGGTGTGCGTGCCTGTGGGGGGTGTAGCTAGATCCGTGGGGGGCGCAGATGGGTTGGCAGGATGCATTGTCTAAGAAAGGTAAGGTGGTGAGCCTGGGAGGGGTTTGTGTGCTGACATGCACGCGTCACCATGATCATGGTTAGTGGGAGCGACTGCGTGTGCGCAGCGAGGCTGTTCAGGGGGATGGGGTGTGTGTGTGTGTGAGGGTGAGTGGGCCGGGGATACACCTGTGTGCCCCAGGGCACCGTCTGCACGTGGAATTATGTGTGCGTGCACCTGGGAGTGTGTAGGGGAGACTGTGAGCATTGCTAGTGAGGGTGGGTGAGAACTGGGCTGTTTTGTCACATGTGCATGAATATGTGTAAGTGTGAGCGTGTGGGGGTGTCATCGTGGGGTGCAGGTGTACACAAGTCTGTGCATGTGCGCATGTGCTGGTTGGCGCACCTGTGACTATGCATTATCAACTATGAGACTTTGGGCAAGTTACTTAACCCCTTTGTGCCTCATTTTTCTCATGGCAAAATGGGGATCATTAGTGGCCACCTCATGGGGTGTTTCCAGGACTCCATGAGAAGGTGTGTGTGCAGAGCACTTAGAAAGTGCCGGGCACGTGGTTTAAGTGCTCCATTAACATTTGCTGCTCGCTATTATTGAGGAGGGAGCTTGCGTATATGAGCGTGTGTGTGTGTGTGTGTGTGTGAGAGAGAGTGTGCCCATGTAGCAGTCGGGGTGCCCATTCCTGGTCCCGGGCAGTCAGAGGCAGAGGGATGGGAGCCCCAAGGCCGGTGAAGGCATGAAGCAGAGCCCAGGCCCAGCTCCTTGCCCGGTGGCACTGAGCCCCATCCCACTCCCTCTCAGGGGACCCAGGGCCTGAGCCCGACTGGGTCCATGGGCCCATCCTGCCTCCGGCCCCTGTTGCCCACCCGAAGATCTGACAGGAGGAGGGGCTGGGACAGACAAGCCAAGCGACTGATCTCTCCCACTCCACTACCTGACAGCTGTGGCCCAATTAAAATCAACAGTTCACAGGTGTTCCTGGTAATGACTCACGCACAAAAAGCCCCACTCCCTTTAGGGCTCTTTAAAAAAAAAATTTAGAGCTCTTTAAATTTTATTCACCCACAACATCAAACCCAGGGAGGAAGTAATAAAAGAGGAGGGGGGACGGGGGCTCTACACGCACGTGTGCACACACACTTGCTCAGGCGTCTGCGGTACGAGTGCCAACACTGTGGCACACCCGTTCACACCCCTCGGCCACTCCAGCACAAACTCACACGCGCATCCCCAAACGTCCACAGGCCCAGACGCGTGCTCACACACACATTCCCCAAACACACACCCACTGACACGTACCCCCAGGGCGACCACACACCTTGCACAAGCCCACATATGCCCCAGCCCTACTGGTTTCTGTGGCCACATAACAAATTGCCACCAACTTAGTAGCTTAAAAGAACACAGCGTTATTATCTCACAGTTCTCGTGAGCCAAGAGTCCAGGCATGGCTGTGCGCTCTGCTTCTTGGGGTCACGATATTGGCTGGGTTGCATTTCATCTGGAGGCTCTACCAGGGAAACATCTTCTTCCCAAGGCATTCAGGCTGTTGGCAGAGTTCATTTCTTTACGGCTGTGTGACCGAGGGCCCCAGCTTCCTGCTGGCTGTCGGCTGAAGGCCACCAGAAGTTCCTTGCCCCATGGGGCTTCCTCAGCATGGCCACTTCATGGAGCCAGCAGGGGGACTTTCTCTAGTTCACGCCAGCAAGACGGAGCCATGCATGTGTGTGTACATGTATATGTATATATGTGTGTGTAGGTGTACGTGTGCGTGTTAACCTGATCACCTCTGCCTTACTCTCTCGGTCAGAAGTCAGTCAGAGGTGCCACCCACACTCAAAGGGAGGACACTGTGCAGGTGTGAACTTGGCGCCACCCTTGGTCTGTCTGCCACACTTACCCACCTAGACGGACACACTCCTAGACCACAGACCACATAAGCCCATTCGTTCACCAACCCTGGTCCACACACTTAGCGGCCTCTGGGCCACCCTTGAAGGTTCCACAGAGCCTGCTCAGACAGGAGAGCACCTGGCAGGAGAAATGTCCCGGTAGCCAGACACCCTCAGAAACTGGCAACAAACCCCACCGCCCAGAACCCTCTGCCCTCCTGCCGCCTCTTTCGGCCTTGTCTAGTTTCCTACTCTGGGTCCCACCTCGCCCCAACTCTTCTCCGCTGGCCCCCACCTGGTGGGGGGACTGGCGAGTCCTATTAAAGCAAAACCCGCAACGCTTTGCAAACTCCCAGCACTTGCCCCGCCCTGCCCAGCTTCAGGCAGGCACAGGTGTGTCTCTGATAAGTTTCTTCAATTGTTTGAAAGTCGATCAACAATGGAGAGCCCCGCGCCACACGCACCACGAGAGACCTCGCCAACGGCTGGTGCCGAGGAGGGAAATGGCAGAGTTTTGGAGCCCAAGAAACCCGGGTATCTTTGGGTGAGCCGCTTCCCCTCTCTGAGCCTGGGTCCCTTTGTGTATAAGATGTTGGTGAGAATTACGTTTAACCAGTCTCGAGTAAAGCTAAACGTATACCTACCCTGTGACTCAACAACACTTGTAAGTACACGCCACAGAAATGCACACGTGTCACATGTCCATCAAAGTGCGATTCTAGAACGTTCATAGCAGAACTACTCATTATGGTCCCAAATGTCCGCCACAGCGGAAGCGCCCTACACACTGGAACACCCACACACTACAGCAGTGAAGGAGGACAGACTGCCGCCGCGCGTCAACCTGGATAAACCTCTCCACGCTGAGCGGGAGAGCCGATACCAAAGGGGACACGCTTTGTGATCCCGTTCAGAGGAAATTCAAACCCAGGCAAAGCCAGCCTGTGGTGTTAGAAGTCGGGGAGGGGCCGCCCTTGGGGGGTGGTGACGGGGCAGGGGACGCGGCGTGCGTGTTACATGAGCACCTTCAGTTTGGGAAAAGCCACCGAGCTCCATCTAGGATCTGTGCACTTTTCTTGCACGTGTGTTTTACTTCGGGAAAAAACCCTAAAATAACAAAAGAAGGCCTCGTGCCTGGTCTGCACCTGGCGCACACAGCCGCTCTGTCACCACTAGCTCTTCCCTCTCTTCTCTGAAGAGCGCCCTCCTTCGGGAGGGGCAGGAAGGAAACCAGACGCCTGTCCTCTGGTAGCGTCAGTCCCGCACCGGGCAGTGGCTCTCGGGCTTGTGTCTCTCCGAAGACACACCCTGAAGCCCCTTCGGTTTTGTTCTAAGCAGTTTCACAAGCTGTGACGCTTCTCCGCCCTGCTCACCTTCAAACCCGCGTTCTGACCCCTCGTGGTCCTCACGAGTCCTCGACTATGCTCCTCTGTCCGTCCTGGTCGGGCTCCGGTGCTGGCAGGTCACTCACACTGCTGTCTCCAGCTGCCCTCTCCTTCCCCGTCGGCCCCTCTCTGAGGGCCTGCTGTCCCATCCGCGCTGCAGCTGAATGGTCAGCCTCGGCTTTCCTGTGGATCCTTTGCTATCTGCTCTGCAAGGAAAGTGAGAGCAGGTGGGTTCAGGAGCTGCCGGGAAGGCTGGGGACACCCAGGCACCTGTGTGTAAGGGCCCTCCAGGCCTCCTAGGGTATAATCCAGTCGTTACTTTTTTTTTATGTCACACCTTGGTCTGAACCAATTACTTTTTTTAGAGATGGGGTCTTGCTATGTTGCCCAAGCTGGTCTCCAACCCTTGGGCTCAAGCAATCCTCCTGCCTTGGTTTCCCAAAGTGCTGGGATTACAGGTGTGAGCCATTGCACCTGGCCTCCTGTAATGACTTTGGAACTGACCCTGTGGGCCCTGGTAAACCAGGACTCACACATCTGAATTAAAAAAGGAGATAGAAGCTGCTGGAGTTCCACCCTGTGGAAGAAGAGATTTCCAGTCCCTGGGCTCTGGGGCTGGTGGCAATGGCAATGGGAGAGGAGCTGGGGTCCACTGACATGGAACAGGGGTTGACAAACTTTTCTTGGTAAAGGGCCAGATAGTATTTGCAGGCAAAACAATCTGCAAATGAATGGGCAGGGTTATGTTCAAACTAAACCACGGTGCTGCACATTCACAATCCAGGCATAGTTGCCGACCCCAGACAGAGAAGGTGGCCCAGGCTTTGAGAAGTCCCTGGAGCCTCTTGGCAAAGGCAACTGGGAAACATCAGGCCCAGGATCCCTCTGTGAGAATAACAAAACCATACCAACTGCTTCTTCCTCGTAATGAGAATTGATCTCAGATCCCTTCCCCTCTTAAGCCCCTGCAGGGAGGAGGGATTCGGGTGGACCCCAGCTGTGAAATGTCCCCCTCCAGGGTTCATTCCTACGCCGGGCACAGTAAAGACTCCCACAGAATGCATGGGCCCCCCACCACCAAGACCCCACACAGGATTCACGTGGGCCCCTGTCACTCACATGTCCCTTGCTCCTCCCGCCTGCTCCATTATCCTAATGCAGGTCCTCAGCACCCCTCTCCCATTCCCCCTGTCACCTCCATTCTTCCTCCACGTCCCTACTGGAATGATCTTGCCTGAATCCAGTCATGCCATGCCTCCAAAACCTTCCGTGGCTCCCCCTGGCCTAGTTACACAGCCCGCACTGTGGCTTAGTGTAGTGGACACCTATTCTGTGGCTGCCCAGTCTCCTTCCATGTTTGGGACTCCTATCCTCCTTCTGGAAACTTCTCCTTAATCCCCTACTCCCAGCACATGCGTGCACATACACACACACAAACACACATGCACAGTCTCACTCATCATTCCATTCACAGGATTATGGCATGAGCAACCTAACTAGGTTGACCCCACCTTGAGCCACGGTCCATTGGCCTAGGCCGGGCAGGTGCTCGGCTGGATCAGTCAGAGGCCTTCCCGGCAACCCCAGCCTGGAATGAGATGAGCAGTCAGGCTCTTCGGATAGCTAAGTCTTAGGACTTGTCAACTTGACGGGTCTTATTGGCCATGCCCTGCCATGTGGACCCAGGAGAAGAAACATCAGTTTTAAAAGGGGAAGAGACCAGAAGTACGGAGAGAGGCAGAGCAGGGGACAGAGAGAGCATTTCCTGGGCTGGCTACTGGGGGCTCCAGCACCCAGCGCTTGTCCTCAGCAAGCCAGGCAGCTCCTTCCACTCACCCTCACTGGGACTTGAGCTTCCCGGAGGTGGCTTCTGTTACTTCTGTTAGCAGCCAGGAGTTAATTCCCAATATCTAACAATTGGGCCCTGTGGCCCTGTTAATCAGTGTCATGGCCCTGGGGTAAGGTCCCAAATGTTCCCTGGTGGTCAGGACATTAACCCTTTAGTTACTGGAGAGTAGAGAGGTCCAGACATTCCAGGGGAAGGCCAGGGTGTCCCGATGTTAGGGCTGACAGCTGTGGGCTCTCCGGAGACTACGTATCAACTGAATAGAAGGGTGAGAGTAGCTTTAAGAAGGTGCCAGCTTCAAATGAGCCCTGATTGACAACCGAACTGACCTACCTACATAGCTTGACACTTCACACTCAGACTCCCCTGTGTTAGTCTGCTAGGGCCACCAGAACAAAATGCCACAGACTGGGTGGCTTCAACAACAGAACTGTATTTTCTCACCGTTCTGGAGGCTGGGAAGTCCAAAAGCAAGGTGTCAGTCAATATGGTTCCTGGTGAGGGCTCTCTGGCTTGCCAAGGGCCACCTTCTTGCTGTGTCCTCACAGGGTGGAGGTAGAGGGGGTGGGGAGAGAAAGAGAGAGACGGAGAGAGAGCAGGAGAAGAGAGCTCTCTGGTCTCTTCTTATAAGGCCACTAATCCCATTGTGAGGGCCCCACCCTCATGACCTCATCCAAGCTTAATTATCTCCCAAAGGCCCCATCTCCAAATAGCATCATATTAGGGATTAAGACTTCAACACATGAATTTTGTGGGGACACAAACATTCAGTCCATAACACTACTCAACCTTCAATATTCACCCAATAAATGTTTATTGAGTGCCTCTTCTGTGCCGCGTGCTGGGGAATGGAGTTGAAGACAGCATTGGTCCCTGCCGTTCCTTCAGGGAGCTGTGCTGGCCTGGTCACCATTCTCTCAGCATGCCCCCAAGTGAGCCCATTCCCTCTGGGATGCCCTTTCCTTTCTTCTCCGGCCTGTTGAAGTCGAACCAGCCTCCAGAACTCCTCCTCCTCTTAAAAACCTTCTCAGACCCTGCAGTCTGTCTGGACCCTCCCTCTGCCACTTGTATTCCTCTTGCCCCCATTCTGTTCCTCCAGAAGCTTCCAGAAGCCCTCTCACACCCACAGATCTGCACGCGCCCACAGATCCGAGTGTCTGACTCCCCCGCCCCTAACAACACACGGGGTGAGTGAGAGCTTTCAGGGGCTGGAATGAGGTCAGGGTTTCCTATGTGTCTCCCACAGCACCTTGCCCGAGCTCTGCACGCGGCAGGGGCTTTGGCTGCCCTTCTCACTGATCGCTCGCTGGTGATGCAGTTTTAGCCTGCAGGGCTGCTTTGCCGATGGCAGCTTGGCGAGGAGAAGGGACAAGTGGCACGAGTGATAATTCTACAAGGCAAAGCTGACTGCACGTCTTCCCCTTTCAACGTTCCACTGCTTTCCCCGCCCATTTCCCTCCGGGTGAAGGTTAAGTAAGCCCCTTAACCTTAAGGGCTGATCAGCTGCTTCCCCCCAACCTGGGCCCTGCTTACCGCTCCAGCCCCACCTGGAAACGTCACCTCCCCTGTTCCGCCAGCCCTCGCTCCCCTCCCTGCCCCTGGGCCTTTGCATGTGCAACTCTCTCCCCTTTCTTCTGGCTAACACTTAGCTTGCTCCAGAAGGTCAGTCCTGGTTCCCTCCCCTGCACCCCCAAAGCCTGCTGGATGGTCCCCTATCACTCCCACAAGGCCCTGTACTTCTCTTGTCATAACATTTATCACTGTCACCTGCTATTTAATTGTCTGTTCTCCTCATAAGATCTATGCAGGCGGCAACTGTCTGTGACCGGCCTAACTGGGTCCCCACAGGACCCGCTAGAGTGTCTAGAACTTTGCAGTTCAATGTGTGATCTGCCTGTCACCAGCCACAGCAGCGTCACCCGGGCGCTCGTTAGAATTGCGGCTCTTAGCAACCCCGCTCCCCCCCTCCTCTGCCATAATCTGTATTTTAACAAATCCCAGGGGACCTGTGTGCACAGAAGTCTGAGAAGCACTTTTTTTAGAGGTCAGTGGTTCTCAAACTTGGTTGCACATTGGAATCACCTGGGGAATTTTAAAAGCTACTGATGCCTGGGACCCACCCCCGGAGATTCTGATGTACTTGACCTGGGGCGGGGCCTCCTCGTCTGGATTATTTAAAGCTCTCTGTGTGATCCTAACATACAGCAGCGTTTAAAAGCCCCTGGTCTACTGCTCCGGAAAAACCCTTCGAATGAATGAGCCCACATGTACAGAGCATTTCACCTACCCCTCATGCACCCCTGTGACGTATGAACCAGTGTGTCCCCATTTCACAGATGAGGAAGGTGAGGCTTGGGCGGAGGAAGAGTCGCTGAAAGAACGCGGCGGAGTCCAATGCCCACGCTCTTTGCCCTGCTCCAAGCTGCCCCCCTGGACAAGGACAGAGTCACTCAAGCTCAGCTCCGTCCCAGCTGCTCCTCCCTGAACAAGCAGAAGCCCCCAACGGCACATGGGAAAACAAGCCCCTTGGGGGAGCGAGAGGCAAAAACACACATAAATAAAACTTGAACCCCAGCGCCCGCTGCGAAGATTAGGCATATATTTATAAAAATCAGCAGAGCCACCGTTCCTCGGTTTCGTGTTTCATTTACGGCGAACACAAATAGCTTCAGCACGAATATCTGGAATCAAAACAGAGCTGCAGGTTCCGGAGCATCTGTGCCATAGGAGGTGCAGTGTGCACTGAGATAATTTTAGCCGAATGTGTTATAAACAAGATCTGCAGAACCGCGCGGCGGGCTGAGTTTTGAAAACTTAGGATTTTAAATGTATAAATTGTTTGGAACATTTAACATCTAGTCATTAAGCAGTCACCCCTTGCCCTCCGTTTTCAGCGAGAAGCTTGCAACACGGCAGCCTCCAGCTGACACCCCCTTCCCAAGTATTAAATAGGGACCACTAGGCTGTGATAGACACACACACACACACACACACACACACACACACACACAGGCACACACGCCACGCACACACCAGCTGGTCCAGACCGTTCCTTGGAAGGCAAGAGCAGCACCGAGGCAAAACATCCGTTCACCGCTGCGCTGCAGAGAACGTGTCTCAGGGACTGAAGCCTTTTTTTTTCTATTTGAATTTTTTAAGCCAGTCTTACACCTCGGGTTCCAAACACCACCACCCCCATGGAGGATGGAGGAAGGGAGGGGGCCGGGCAGGCAGGGAGGGAGAAAGGAAGGCACTGGGATGTTTGTACATCACCAATGTCATCTGCACTACAGCCTGGCCAGGCAAGGATAGTGTTCCCTTTTCACAGGGGATAAAACTGAGGCTAAAAAGAAAGTGACA